AAATTTATTGTTTGTTCATTGATTTCATATTATATAGTTCCATTGATATATTTCTAATAATAAATAATTCCTTCAATATAAGAGGAAGTTTGAAAAAGTCGAAAAGCAAATTGAAAATTGACCATTATCTAATGCTTTCACTTTTTCATTCCCTCTCTCTGTCTCTGTCTCTGTCTCTCTCTCTCTCTCTCTCTCTTTCACTACCTGTTTTAATATTATTTTACACTACTGCATATATTGAAATTGTAAACATATAATTTTGAAAATCATAAAGTTTATCCCTAATACTTTTTCAGATTAATTGTATTTTCAAAATAGCACAAGTGTGAGGAATTTTTTTCATTATCATTATTTCTTAATGTTGATAATTAATTTAGGAAGAAATCTTCCAGGATCGACTAATTAATTCGATCGTTACAAGTACTAGTATAATTATGTTGCAGTTCTAAAATCATTTTATTTCATTCATTTATCACGAAAATTATCAGTTAATTACTAATTATTAAATATTTTCAATTATTTGCTTCAGTATGGAAAATATATTTCTATTTATTTGATAAACAATATGCTACTGCAGCATATTTTAATTTTTGTCTGTAAAATTACAGTATTCAATTATTCATGCATTGTGGGAAATATTGAAATTATGAATCATTGAAAGAATAAACGAATAAACGGAATGAATAAACGGATGAATTTATTCCATGATATTTTTTGTTTTGTTTTTTAGATTTCAACAGTATTTTATTAAAAAATTTTCTCGCAATAATGAATAGTTGGAAAAAAATATGAACTGAAATATCATCAAATATCTTTGCATATGTGTTTTATAAGAATTAATTGATTAGTTATATAAATAAGGATGATGTGTATTAATAGAATTAATGAAATTTCAAAAATTTATTCATTTCTCTTTTTTTTTTCTTTCATCTCTGACAAAGATTCTTTTTGTAACATATGGAATGTTTTCTTACTGTGATATATATTTTATCTTAGAATACATTTAAAATTAATGAACCAATCATTCCTAAATGATTGGTTCATTAATTTTAGTATTCCTAAATAATAAAAATCAATATTCGATTAGGATAATGATCAAATAATAATGTAGGAGTAGTTTAGTGAGGAAAAGAATTGAAAAATATAGGAATTTTTTTACGTATTTCAAATTCTCGTCTTTTTTCACAATTCACTTTAATCATTCAACATTTTTCATTTTTCCTTTTTTTCATGTGAAAAATAATTGAATTATTGGTATTTTTGATTGTAAAAAAAAATATAGTTGAAGATGGATTCGTTATTTTTGAAATCATGATTTAGTTAAATAATGGTTATAATTTGGTACCTGTAATTTTAATCTATGTTTGATAAATAATATATTAACTTATGCTGATGTTAAATGAATAAATTTTAATGAGTAGAAGATTTAAAATAACTATCGCTTTATACTTTTTACATGAATTTATATTTCTTGTGTATTTAACATTTTCAATTAATTTTTAAAATAATTTCATACTTTTAAGCAAAAAAAGGAAGAAACGAGAAATAACACTCTTTCCTTAGATTCGTATTAATAAATGTTGTCTGTAATTGATTCCTGGTAAAATTTACTCAATTCATGATTTAAATAATACATTAATAAGCAAATAAATGATCATGTGGATCTTTTTTTTGATATATTATGCATGAAATCATTAACCAATCGATAATAATTATGTTACTTTGTTAAATTTTTGAAATTAAATAATACAAGCAAATGAAAGAAAGAGGGGAAAAAATAGGAAGAAATGAAATTGAAAATGAAACTTTTAATTATATTCATTGCACAGAATGCTTATATATGATTTTTTTTCCGAACGTGGAATGACATAATTCATTTTTCGTTTGCAAAAGAAAAATGTAATAGAAATGAATGTGATTAATTAAATAATAATTATAATTTCTAAATTTTTTCCTGCTTAATTTTTACTGTCTTTACAAAATAGATAGAACTTACGAAATTATATGATGTTATCATCCTTGGATAATATATTTTATTGCAAAATATTAGTAATATCAAAATGACTGTAACAATAATGCTAATGATGATAATATGGTAGTAGTAGCAGTAATAAATATAATAATAATAATAATGATAATAATTTTTTCCATGGAATTTCAAGAAAAATGGTAACGATAAATAACTAAATCATTATTGTTACAATCATTTTTTTTTTCAATGGAAAAAATTAATGGTTAGTTACTGAAGCAAAAATGCTTTATTTGATATTATTGAATGCGAAAAAGTAATATCTTGGAAACCAATAAATGATAGTGAATATTTTTCCCGTGACTAACCATTAAAATTGATTTTTCTTCTAGCTGAATGTTTTCAAAAATGTGAAAAAATTTGATGAAATTTGCTCTCGACTTCATGAAAAACAGAAACAACAACAACAACAATTATTTAGCATATAATACAAAATAAAATACCTTGAAAAAAGTGTTTGAAGGAGAATTTATCAATTGAAGGAATAATTTCATTGATGGTAAATTATAAATTAATTTTACAAATTTCCACGCGTAATATTTCGTTCAACATATGATTTGCTTGCTAAAATGTAATTAACTAATCCATAAAAGTTATTAATAATATGATTTTATACATTTATTACATAAGTGATACGAAAAAAACGTTTATTTTATTTTTCGAGAAAAGTTTGATACACAATAATGAATTTGTTTAACATGCAAAGGTATTTAATCTTCGAATTATCAGATTTTTCAACTTTTGATTTAATTGTTTTATTAATAAAATGTCAGAATTATTTGTTTTATTTATATTTGGCACAGAGTATCATTTCTAGCATTTTGATGTGGTATTATAATTTTTCTTTTTGCTTTTTTCTCTTATTTGTCCCTTATTTGTACAAGTTGACAAAGTGTTGTTGAAATTTCTGGAAGCGTGATTTATTATGTAATAAATTAATGAATGGAGATAGATGTAATGAAATTGATTTTAATATTTCCCATATTCAATGCTGTCACATAAATTTATTGGTACCACAAATTAGTATAGCTACTAATGATTCGGTAATTTTTTCATTAAAAATTTCGTCAGCGAAAAATATAATAGAAAATTTAATAAAAAAAAAAAATGCATACTATTAGAGAAATCAGAAATTGTTCACAGTTTTTCAGGTTTGCAAAAAAGATTCAAAAAACCGAAATACTTGGACAGAATTTCCAAAAATTGAAATTGATAACGAGAATTTGATTAATTGTAGCATAGCTTTTTATTATTTGCTAATAGTTAATAAATTAAAAAGGAAAAAAAAGAAAATAGTGTGAAATTAAACATTTATATCTGCCAGTAATTTTATCATTTCATTGGTAATTATTAAGTAGAAAAGAAGTTATTCAGAAATAAAAAAATTAGGGTTAATTTATTAAAAAAAAAATTAAACATAATATTTTCGACACTGAACACTATTTCTGGTTTCTCTTTATAGCACTTGTTTT